CAAATAGAATATATTTTAATTTTAATTAAAATAAAATTTATCAAAAATCTTTTTTAAATATAAGTTTTTTTAAAATGTAAGTATTTTTTGATATATTTATTTAATTTTATAGATCTAAATATTTTCTGATTCAAAAAATGTTTAGGGACTTAATCGTTTAAAATATGAATGTTTATTGGGTTTTTTTTGTATTTTTTTCATTATTTTATCATATTAATCAATTGTATAGATCATAAGGATGTATCTAGCAAGTTTTAGAAAGTCGAAGAAGTTATTTAACATGTTTTAAAATATTTAAGAACTTATTTGTTCCAAAAATTGTCCAAAAATTTAATCATTTCAAACACTAAAGTCCATTGGGTTTCTTTTTACTAAAATAGTTTGATTAATATTTAACTAGTGGTAGAAACTTACAAGTATTAACTTTAGTGGTCAAAGTAAAAAAATAAAAACTTAAAATAATAAAAGAAAGAAAAATAGGGGAAGGTTTGCAAATAAATCAAAACTTTGGTGTTTCATCACGCAAAAGATCTCCAGGGATTAGGGTTTGTCAAGACAATCGGCACTACGGGCAGGACGATTCGTATACCTCTTCAGGTAAGTATATTCAGGTTTCTTACATGTTTCAAGTTTCCATTGAAAATGAATCTAGGGAATTAGGGTTTGAATTCTCAATTTAACCTGATAGAATCGTTAACTGTTCATCTGTTGTGATGATAGATGAAGGCATAGGGTAGGAGTTTGATTACCTCTTTTGCTGATTGCTTTTATCAAGGTTTGCCTAACAATCTGTTTTACTTTCACTGTACAAACGAGCCATGAATATATGAAGAAACCTATTTTGGATATTCTTGGAAGTCTTGTCCTTTCCAGACAACTCCATAGTCCCATGTATGTGAAAAAGTCTAGTCCAGTATGTATGTTCTGTTTACATATATACATATACATACATATATATACATATATGTATGTGTGTGACGATAATTTAGTTGCTATGTTTTGATGTATTATTTTCAACAACAGATTGAAGAGCAATGTGCGTTAGATTAATGCTGTCCTGTTGCATAGACTTGCAGCAAGGTTTCTTAGTATTTGATGTTTCATAAATCTTTTGTTGTTCATCGTTATACCAATATCATCATGCTAACAAAGCCCTTCCGCCTTAAAATACCTCTAAAGCAAAAGCTTACCCCCATGTCTCAGGAGAAAGAAAAAGAAAAGGAAAAGAAATCAAACCAAATGAACCTAGTATACTCCACACATAGGAAGAGTTTGGGAGGGTAAGATGTACGGAGACTTTATCTCCACCCTGAGGGGTAAGAGAGAGTGCATCATGAAAACCCCCGGCTTGCAAAAAAAAAAGGAATCAATGTAAAAAGTTAGGAGGAATTTAAAGACAATTTTGTGGACTGTTTTACTATATATCCATGCTTAAAAAATGAATGGTAATTAGTTACATCATGACATCAGATTTATAAGTTTAGGTTTTAAAATAGGAGTCTCTTGATTATGAAATGAACTCTTCTTTTGAGACTGATGGAGTATTAACTAGAGGCATGATTCTTGTTGGCTATATAGGTGTAACTTTCCGTTGGACCCTTGGCATGGTTCATAGCCAGTTTGTCATACCAAAATTAGAAATAGGGTTTTGCATACTGTTCACGGGGCTGGGAGGTCACAAGTGCACCATTCAAATGTCAAGGAAAAATGTAGACTGCTCCAGTTTGGTTAGATCAGTACAAAAGGCACTGATTTGGTTTGATAATGTGATCTGATTAATCAGGCACCAAGGTTATGAAAGACCTATTATGCCTGGAGAGATAGGACCATCATAACCATGTGATTTCGTTTCAACCAACATCATATGTAATATCCAGTAAGGCTCCTCTAGTTGCCTATCCAGCTATATATGGAGACCCAGCTGCATTAACCTTTTTTCTTCTTTTCTTATCCTAAATTCATTTTGCAGGACATGTATTCCTCTATCCGTGGAGTACATTAAATGTACAGAAATGGCTATAACAGAGTTTCATCACATACAGGTTATGCATTTGGAATGGAGAAGAAACTCAAAGAAGAAAACCCAGATTCTCCAATGTCTGGAATCTACGAGATACCTGGTGAACCTGCATTGGTTATCAATGGGGTGCCTCCTCTATGCACCGGTAATGATGGTAGTCTTTTTCACTGTGACGTTGTGAGTAACATAGATTCAAAACTGAACGAGCCGTTGGGTGACTGGTTGGATGGCAGAGAAGTTAGAAAGGTATTTGGGGGGAGGGTCTACAATGGGAAAGTTAGCAAGTTTGACAAAGAGTCGGGTTGGTATAGAGTGGTTTACGAGGATGGGGATTTTGAAGATCTTGAATGGCATGAGTTGCGAGAAGTGCTTCTACCCCTTGATGTCACAATTCCATTGAAGACATTAGCATCAAAAGTCATCAAGAAGAGCCAGAAACATGAAAAGAAATTTGGGAGATCTGTGACTAAACCGAAAATCCACCAACATAAAGAATTGCAATCTGGGGTTGAGAAAATGGAAGTCTAGCAAGATGATGATAGGAAAGTTGAAGCAGTTTCGGCTTTCTTTAGATCATTGATGAGTGCTTGGTCACAAAGTAACATAGAGTCGTCTTTTACTAGGAGTATGACTACGGAAGGCATTAGATACGTTTAGCCCATTCTCTTGTGGGTGTTTATCTGGAAAATGAGAATTTGTAAAGCTCATGATAACGGGGGTTGAAATGAGAACGCATGTAGTATATACTTGCAAATTGTTTTCAGAGAGAGAAATCTTGAATTCTAAATCCATATAAAGATTATTCCAAGTTGCATCATTTATGCTATGGGGAAGTGTTCACCCATGATTAAATTTGATGGTATGAAAATCAAGGCTAATAATTCTTCAATACAATACCTAATCTGAAGACTTAACTCAAAATTATCATCAAGGCCAATAATTCTTCAATACATTTGTAATCTTTGTCAAGACAATGAAGGTTTCCATTAGGGAAAGAACAGCTGTAGCTTAGCTCCTAATAGCCTTTTTGAATTTCTCCAACTCCTTTGATTCAGACCCATGAACAACTTTTATTGTATCTATGCAGCTACTGCAGGGAACAAAACCAACAAACATGAAATTAAATCAAATGAAGTCTTATGAGTCATGAGATCTATGGAGCATTGTTGTCAATGTGTTGGTTTTTTTGGCCAGAAAAGGATGCATGTTGGTTGAGCAATCTTCAACAAAGTTGAGAATGGTAGATGATGCAACTGTGAACAATGCATTGATATTTAATTGAAGTACATGATCTACCCAGAAATATTGAACAACCCACCCTGCAAATCCACAACACTGAAGAGAAAAGAAAATCCTTGACTTGGCAAAGAACGAGATCCAAGTGTTGCAAATCCAGAACCAATCCGAAAACAAACAGTTAAGAGTCAAGAATTGATATCACAAGGGCAAAATGAACTTGTCAAACAAGATTGAAGCCCCAGACCAGGAGGAACTAATGTATAACGGAAAAGAAACCACTGGAGAGACATCGGAGAATGGTGAAAATGATTGAGTTGTCACCAAACCTCTGATGAAAAGCCTCGAGGGGTTTTGGTGGGGAGGGGGGAATTGACGACTGAACAGATTCAGAGAAGACATTCACAGATAAAATAATGCTTTCTTGAAGATATATAAATAATCAGATTAGAACTAATTACTGCAAGTATTATCTGATAAGATGTTAGCTTGTTAGTTCGCAGAAAAACAGTCTCTACCCATTGGGGTGCAGGCAAGGTCTCTGTACATCGTTGTCACATAATGAAGCTTCAGCTTTCAAGAAAGGAGGAGGTAAATTTTGATGATGAGGGTTGAAAAAGCTAGGAGTGGTAATTTCGTGCAGAACGGAAAGACCATAATTACAAGTATGCTTGTTTGCACATTGTTGCAACGAATTGATGATATTGATTTCAGTCCATACGGTGTTCCTATTATGTCATTATTTGAAGGGTATATAAGAGATTTGGTTGATAGTAAAAGCTTCACTTGAACAAACATTGCAATTTGTCATGGGACAGAGGAAGAACGACACTAAGCAATTAAACACAAAAACTCACATGCCAGTGCCATTATAATCTAACCTGCAAGCTTCCTTGTTGAACTTTTTCTTATCAATCCCGTATAAAGTTTCAAAAACATCTGCCTCAACTCGACAAAAATACGGCCGATCTGCGATTATAGAATCGAATGTATGAGATGGAAACCTAGTATTCAATATAAGATCATACAGAAAATGCTTACCGGAGTATATGGAGCATGTTCTTGTGCTTTTCTCAAAGTGTATGCACCATCCATCAGAACCCACCAAAGATTTATATAGCTGAACATGAAACAGTAATTCACATGTTAGATATAAAACCCTACAAAATGATGGTTTAACTTTTGGATCATTCACCCCCATTGACAACTACATTGAAGTTGATGGCAATTAAAGAAAACAAATTAAGTATGGTTACTTAACAAAATCCATACCAACTTAAATCAAAATGTATCGATTTTGCTTGCATAACCCTCACTCACTGTCCATAATGAAAACCCAAATGGCATTTAAAAAAATGTGATTGGAAATCGATGCAAAAACAGAGATGGAAGTACTTGAATATCAGAAGAATCATCGAAGATTTCTTCAGGGGAGGGGAAGTTGGGTCCTTTATCCAGCTTACAACACGCACCACAATTCTTTACGCACTGCCAAAGAGGTTCCCTTTTCTTGGCCCCAAAACCGGCGGTGCTGTTCTTCCTCTGGCTTTTTGCCGAGACCTGGCGTTGTTCCGTTACCGGTTCGACGGCGGCGTATGAACAAGGAACAGCTGCTAACATCGCCAGCGACATTCGCAAAAAACTGCAATTTTCTTATCTTCCGCGTTTCAGCATATCATAAACCACCGCCAAAAAGATTGGAACTTGGAAGTATATCGTAAAAAATACATGTTATTTAAAATAAAAATATTATTATATTTCTTATAATAAATCTTGGGGATGTAGCTCAATTGGTAGAGCGCTCGCTTTGCATGCGAGAGGCACGGGGTTCGATCCCCCGCATCTCCATTTATTTTAATTAAAAATGATTTTTTGTTCATAGTTTATGTTCGGGGTTGGTAGTTTACCTCTTAATAGTTTCATTAAGAGACAATCTTTGAATCGTTAAGAGATGAATCTTGTTTGGCAAGAAAAAAAAATCTGTCTTTTAATGGTTCTAAAATCTTCTGAATGATTTTGTATCATGGATCTCTCTTAATCATTAAGAGCCCTAATTTCATGATTCACAAGTTTCGTTGAGGTAATTCAATTCGAATTAAATTGAATTTGGTTTGAAACCACTTAATCTCAAACTTAAATTTTATTGATTTAGTTTGAGTTTTTGATTTTTCACTCCTGAGATCACCGACCCAAGTCCCTCGAACATAGATGATTTTTCAGGTAACAATTTAATCAGACATTTTTTTCTGGTCACCTGACTTCTTGATGATTTTTCAATATGAGTTACGAGTCAAATGTTGTATATATAGCCTCCCAAAATGTATATAATACAATGTTTCAGATGTTGGAATATCCCCGGATTTTACTACCGCATGGATTTAAAAAGCAAGTTAGAAAAACTTCATCTCGATTTGAGTTTCGAGTCAACAGTTATGACTTGCTAAAATGTATTTGATGAGAATACAAGAGGCCAAGATATTTACAATGGTTTTCGAAGTCATATTATTCCCAAAATTTACAAGTACGTAGATCAAAAGAACACCTTCAAAAGAAATCATTTTGATTCGTATTAGGCGTTAAAAGTTATGAAAAATAGAGCATAAAGTATACGATAATACATGAACACAAAAGGTCATGAACTTTGATTCGTAATTTGTATCGTCATAATTTGTTAAAATTAGTTGTTTTCGAGGCCTACATAGTAGATGCCAGGATACGATATTACAAAAACCATCATATCCTATCGTATTCTCATAGTATAATACATTTTGAGTTTGTAACTTTTCACTTGTAACTCATATCCAAATGAATTTCTTTTTTAAGCTGCTTATTATTTCAAGATTCTGGTAAAATTCGAGTCTCTATGACTTTTGATTATAAGTCACTAGTTCGAGTTCCTTCAAGTTGGGATTCTTCGGACCGTTTTCCACGATGCTATAAAATTAATCCAATTCCACACAAAATGACTGGAAAATCCATAATTACAAAAAAAAAATGCCATTAAAAGGAAATAGCACAAATAGAAAAGCAAGAATTCTTGCTACATATATATTCAATCAATAGAACAAAGAATTGGTGCACCCCTAATGCCGGCTGAATACATACAGTTGACGGCAAAAGGGTGACATGAAAGTAGAGAAAACAAACACTATTTGTAGACACAAAAAACTATAGGATTTTCCCCAGCAAACCTGGTTGTGTATGTATAGAGCAATTAATTCAAAGCTCGAACTCCTCCTCCTGCAGGGTCCTCTCTGCTGCCTTTTCTTCCTCGTCATCAATAAGAAAGTATTCATTCTTCTCCACTGGTCTGAACATGTAAAACATCATCATATAGAACACAAGACTGCCTACTTCCTGTGCCCCATTTGACACCCACTGGAACTTATACGAAGAGATCGTTTCCAGTGAAAATACTATGATTCTTGTGAAATACAAGTATCCGATAACCACCATGTAGAATTTTCGAAACAGGTACAACTTTGCCAAATTCCTAGCAGCCTTCCCATCTGTCTTCGAGGTCTCCCGCAGTGATTGAATCGACCACACAATGGGGAAAATAATGGCGAAACAACAGATAAGATCTACTATCATGAACAATTGGTTCCAAGTTACCCAACTCCTACTGAATGGCCCGGTTTCCCCTACCACTATAGCAGCTATATTTGCCAAAACCTGAAGTGGAATCACAATCATCAAAACCTTCTTCTCTTTTTCTTGCAAAAATGGTTTCAGAAACGACCATCCGGTGCCGATCAACACTATCACGGTGAACAGAAGCACCGCCCTTAAGAACTGAAACGTGTAAAACAGCACATCCCATCCATGAGGTGTACCTGTAACCTTCACGTAATGTTTGTTCTCCGCCGCACAAATCAAGTTGAGTGCCTTCACCACCAGCAACATGCCCATGAGTAAATGGATCCGGTGAACGGATCCTTTGTTTTTCATGCATTCGACCGTCCACAGCCCTACGAAACACATGTAAATGATGGAGAAAATGAAGTAAAGCGACGGCAGTTGAGTTTTCCCGGCGGATAAGTAATCCTTGTGGGTTCCGTCTTCGCTATTGTAAAGCTCCGTGCGGATGTCCATCGATACAAGCGATTCACGATTGCAATTGGCGAAGAAGAGGTAATACTCATCGGGGTAGTTAACGGGAAACGATTTATTGAGCGATGAATGAGGGGGAGGGGAGAGATCTTGGAAGGTGAATAGAAGGGATATGAATTTGGAATCGACTACGCAGGTTTCAGGCTTTCGTTCGAGTTCCATAAGAACTTGATTTCTGGAACCTTCAGCGATAAGGAAGAATCCGAGGAGTGATGGATCAGGTTGCGAGAGGCCGGACGTAACGGAGACGGAGGAGACAGCGACGGAAGCAAATCCGTTGTGTGTGAATCCAAATTTCTCAAATAAGATCATGGGACGGTTGTCGTCTTTGATCTTCAAGGTTTTAATCTCCGCCGTGACCGGTGGTGTGAGGATAAAAAAAGCAAAGAGGAGGAGAGAGAACATAATTGTCTTCGTCATTTTCAAATTACCGGCGGTGGCGGACGGCGGTGGGAGTTCGGAGATGTGGGAATTTCTAAAGATCAACCTCTGAAACTCCTTCCCCAAACAGCCCTTCGTTGATTCGCCTGTTTTCCTTTTGTTCTCCTTTTTTTTTTCTCGTTACCTCAATTACATGCATTTATACGTAAAACCATAACTAAAAAAAGAAATTTTAATTATTTTTAGTGGATTTTAAATATTTATTATCTTCCTTTTTTTGCGGTGGCTACGAAAAAATAGTTTATGTAGAATAATTAACAAGTGTTGAAGAAGCCTTTTGAATAATTTATTAAATAATTTATACATCTAATTTTTATAACATTTTTTTTGGAAAAGTATTAAAATAGCGGATGCTACTATATGCATATCTATTTATGTCATAATCATGTAAAATCATCTATATTATCTATATCTATATCTATATTCTCTTATAAAGCATTTGGCTAAAACTCTTAAACTCGTTCATCCTTAAACGATTTCATCTCATATCTGAATTCGTGTAACTAACTGCAGATAAACACAATCAAATACAGGATAAACATCTCATTTTAAATATAAAAAATCTAAAATATAATTAGTATAATCATTAAAATAATAAAACCTAAACTACTAACCCTTCCCCATCTAATCCGTACTATGTCGCTCCATCTCATCCCCACACCATGTTGTCGTCGCCATTGTCACTAATTGGCGATGATCAAAGAGGTGTGGTCTTGTAGGGGCAATGATTGCTGATCTTGCACAAAATTGACTTCAATTTTGAGTTCTTGGGTACCTAAAATGGATGCTAAAAAGAAGGAATATCACCGAAATTCAAAAATTTGTAATTGGATAAATTTCGTGTAGAAAACTTGCTCAAGAGGTTAATGCTTATGTGATCGAGACAAAGGGGTACTCGAAGCAATTGTTCGTTCAATTGGATTTGAGCGATATGAACTATAAATGTGGAGATATTATTTAGTGAAGAAATATATTCTATGTATCAAGAAAGCAGAAATACCTTATCCTGAATTGCACTTATGTCAAGCTCAACCAGGCGTTGAGATCGAGTATTTGGATGCAAGAAGGACAGTTTAAGCTTGACGTCGTTGTCACAAATAACACCATTATTCTCGTTTGTGGAAAGCTTAAAGTTTTGAAACAAGGCAAGGAAATCCCGTGTGTTGCTGTTAAAAATAGTTTAATTGGGCATGTATTTGTAACCAATAAATGTGATTTCATCATTATTTTGTTTAAAAAGCTTGACAATACGGGGCTAAAAACGTGATCTATTGGACATTGATGATTGAATTGTACATAGAAAAACATTTTAGCATATTCCTAAATAGTTTACATAATAATAATATTGTGTTGTTATCTAGAATTATAAGACCATCTTCAACAAATTCTTTAAAATGGAGAATTTCTGGATTTTTGCTCCAAAATAAATATTCTTTAAAATTGAGAAATTATGAAAGGGGGTGAAATTTCCTAAATTTGGAGAACTCTTAAGAAATGATTACCTATGAAAGATCAATTATTTTATATTTTTTCTACTAACAATAATCCTTGAAATTAAATGTATATGAGATAAAATTAATACTTTATGAAATGTATCCAAAATGGAGAAGCTATCAGGATTGAATATAAATTTTCTTTAGAGTATCTCCAACAGGTTCTCTAAAATAGATACTCAAAAGTCAAAATCTCCAAATAAAATTTATATTAATCTCTAATAGCTTCTTCATTTTGAATATTACAATATGAATTATATTATTAAAATATTTATTATATTTTTATAAAATATAATTTTCCTTCCTATGCATCATTTTCAAGTATTTTTTATTGGTAGGAAGAATAAAAAATAATTTTCTCTTTTATAGGTAATCATTTTTTGAAGAGTTCTTCAAATTTCAAGAATTTCACACATTTTCTCTCCTACTTTCTTCATTTTGGAGAAAATTGATAGTCCCGAGGTAATAAGGCAAATCCTAAAAGGTTATTGTAGAAGGGGGGTTGAATACAATAACATAAATTTTTACTTGATTTTATTATTATTATTATTATTATTGATATGGATATAAAAAATTACACTTAGAAAACAATATTGATGCGGAATAAGAATAGATTAAAATCTACTCTATCAATCTTTCACTAAGATTAAAAGAACTCAAAAAGCACAAGAACTTTTATGCCTTTGAGAGGTGTTGATTTATGTTGTTTCACTTAGATAACTTTTTGAAAGCGTAACCTTGCATGGTGCAACCACTATGCTATAAATACTATCATTACCATGTGTATTAAATGCATGTAGACACTTGTCACTTGAAGACAAGAAGTAAGGTTTGACTTCTAAACTATTTGAAGCGTCCCTTTCACCGTACAAAAGAAAAATGACATGTCTCTAAAACACTTTTCTATAGCATCCCATACCAACCATACGAGATATTGTCCGTTTTGTCCACATACACGAACTCACGGTTTAAAATGCGTCTGGTAGAGGAGGTATCAAGCCCCTCAACCTTTGTTCCCTCCCAATCCAATGTTGGATCTTACAATCCCCCCCCCCCCCTTTGGAGTCTAACGTCCTTGTAGTACACTAGTCTGGTTCCTGACTCTAATATCATCTGTAACACCGCAGCCAATCGTAGCATATATTGTCCACTTTGTCCACACACTTGGACTCACGGTTTTGAAACGCGTTTGATAAAAGAGGTGTCAAGCCCCTCAACTTTTGTCCCCTCGCCAACCAATGCGAGATCTTACATTTTCTATCATGTATTGAAATTTCACATCAAGAGGAAGATAAGGACAAACATGTCTTTCTAGGTGTTTCAGAGAATGTCTTTTTCAAGGATAACTTTGGTGAGATTTTGTCAGAAAAGATCGATGCATGTGTATCTTTAGGTTGACCAACCGATAATCAAACTGACCATCAGATCATGTAAATCGGCAGGAGGAAGCTTGGTGTGCAAGTTAGAAAATACTTCCCGATTCGTATCAGTTGGTGCACATCAGCAGATTCTTGACATCGGCTACTCTTCGAGTCATTGAACCGTTTCGGTTTATACCAAGCTTAAGTGAAGATTCCAAAACATTTCAAAGTACAAGTTCTAATGATATAGAGATATGAAGTGAAAAAGTCATCAACAAATCATCGTGATCCAACAAAGGTTTTGAGAAATATGTTGAAGCAAAAGTCCTCAAAATCTCAATTTTGGAAAATCTGTTAGAAAGCATCTCCAACAACATCCTTCAAACGGAGATTTTAAGTGTTTTTTTCCTCCAAAAGATAACTTCTTTAAAATAAAGAAAGTAGGAGAGAGAAGGAAAATTTGTTTAAATATGAAGATTAAAAAAAAATGATTATTTATGAATGAGAAATAATATTTTATTATTTATATCAATAAGAATATTTAAAATTAAATCTTTAACACAAAGAAAGAACATTTTATTAAATGTAATAATATTTTAATAATATAATTGATGTTTTAATGTATAAATGAACAATCTTTTAAGAAAAATATAATTTATAATATATTATAAAATATTTGACAAAAACTTTTAAAAACCATTTTTTATGCATGAAGTACTGTATATTGATGCATATTACTTAAAATTCAAGATTAGAAGTAAATTATGTATAACTACAACTTATTAAAACTTCATGTTTGAATTCGTATAACTAACTGCGGATAAACATAACCAAATAGAGGATAAACATCTCATTTTAAAATATAAAAAATCTAAAATATAATTAGAATAATTATCGAGTTCTAATAAAATAATTAATTATTATCTTTATAAAAAAATTATATTACTAAACAAAACATAAATTACTTCGTTATTTAACCTAAATTAAATTATAATAAAAAATAAATTAAATAATTATACACAAAATAAGAATTTTAAATAGTTAATTTGATATTAATATCGACATATTTTTGTCAATTTTTCATGATGTCTATAAATTTATATTTTATTAAAAAAATATAATTATTTTTTCAAAATCTACATAACACCATACTATAACATCGACTAACATAAAAAATAAAATAAAATATTAAAATCAAGATATATTTTATTGCATTACACGAACAGATGTATTTTTTTTTAAGATTTGATTTTTAAGACAAACTTTTTGGAGATGCTCCAAATATTTAACGTATGAAAGGCGAAATGGAAGGCAAATATTCTAAGTTTTCATATGATAAATATTTAAAGCGAAATCAAAGGCAAACGGCCCGTACGAAACAAAACTTCCAACCAAATTCACAAACGCTTTTATTTACCGATAACCAGCGCCACTCTCCTCCTCCCTCTCCCTCCTGTTTCTTGATCGCCGGAGATTTCTTTTTTCTTTTACATTTTGATTAGAGGTTTAGAAATTGGTGTTTAATGGCGTGGCTAAGGACGGCGATGAACAAAGCTGCCGAAGTACGCGGCAGGTCCAGTTTAAGGGCCGCTGTTCGCTCACATGGCGGTAATGTCGTCTCCGGGGACGCCAAGAAGGTGCAAGACCGCGGTGTACCTACCTCATCTCTCTTCTCTTCTCACATATTAGTGCATGTTATTATAAATTATGCATCTCTGTTCTAATTCGTACTCTATTCGGTCAAAAACTTTTAGGTGCAACTCACTCCGAATTGCTATTGATGTATTTGCTGTAGGAATCTAAAATCTCAATTTTCTCTGTAGGCGTCTTTAACATTGCATTTGGTTAGAATTTTACAAAATTTCTTATTGAACTTACCCTTTGATTTAGCAAAAACTGATGATGATGAAAGAAATAGTATGAAAACGGAGTTTAGAATTTTGTTAAGATCATATGAAACAAAAGAGATATGTCAAAACATAAAAAATGAGATGTAACCTTTTTAGAAACTGTAAAAGGCTCGTGCCAATTATTTTGGGAAAATGCTCATTAGATTTTTTGGGGGGGGGGGGGGGGGGGGAATATATCATGTATAGATAAACATTATTAAATTGTTGTTCTCAGATATATATATATATATGTGTGTGTGTGTGTGTATGTATGTATGTATGTATGTATCATCTCAATGTGCTGATATTGAAATAGTTAGAATATGACCAAGTATGGTAATTAGTAGTACTTTCAGCTTTACATGGCTCAAGGTATCTATTCCTGTCTGTTCTGAACTTCACGTCTTTGCAAAACTGACAACCTTATGTCAATGTTACCCTAGCTTTGGAACAAAGGTAACACCATTTATGCTTATACTTGTATTTACATGGGCCTAACCCAACCAAGCCATCTTTTGGCTAGGTTTCTTGGTTTTAGAACTAGCATATATTTAGGTTTAGAAAATATTGTGTTTTGATTCACCCATAGATATTGCGACTTGCAGTCAGTTGAATATTTTAATATCATCCATGAAAACCAAAGATAAATTCAAAGTTTTTCAATATTGGTTCATTTAGTTCTTTCTCTTCTTCATTATGAGGCTCCTGTTTCCATGATGTGAGGATAAATGGAGATATAAGTCCCAGAAAAAATGGAGATTAGAAATGAAAGAAGACAACATAAATGGTCGGAGCCGCAATTTGCAAGTCAAAACACACACTTTATACTTCAGCATTTTGAATGAGGTGGGTTACACCAATGTTCTAGTTATATTTCTTAAAATTTGCATGTACGAGCTCATATTTTTTCAAGTTATAATATGGTGTCATGTGAATGACTTGAATTTGTCTTGGCTACCCATATATTGTTATCTGTCTCCTTGCTTGGCATCATCATCTTGTCATATTGTTTTAAAATATTACTAGTCACTGCGTTAATATGCAATGGAAGAATACAATACTGTCTTTATGCTACGAAAATGCAGGGAGCTCAGAACATGAAAAACTATAAGGAGGCAATTAGAAAGCTCGAAGAAGTTTCAGTTTCTTCTAATGGGGAAGAAAGAGTTCAGTTGCTAAGAAGATGGTTAGAAGAACTAAGAAAAATTGAAAGATTGAATGCAGGTTCAGCTGAGAATGATGAGAAAAATGCAGAGAAACCTCATACATCAAGTGATGAGAATGATTCTCTTCAAAAATCAGATATTGTAAGTGAGAAAATATGCACTATTTTCTGTCATTCTGTCATTTTCATGTTGCTCCAGTTGCTATGCATGCCCAGTTAATTTATCTATTTTATATATAGGCTTTAGTTGGCTTGCATCAATTGCGTCAGGGTCTTCTAAATGAAAAATCTGTGGATGTGTGCTGACACCAAAGTGTATTGCTGGTAGAAACTTATCTATACTCTAGAGGAGTGACATGTTACAAGTGCTCTACATTCTGTTGTGTCCTTTTCTACATAAGCAGGTTTGTATGCACTTAGACAGGAGGCGCAGAATCAGCTCACGGTCCTGTTTGTTAGTTTCATATCTTTTGTACGAGTTTATAGGTTTAGTATGACTGCTTCTCACATTGATAAGTTTCAACAATTACACCAGAGATGGACCAGAAAACCCAGCAAGGCCCTAATATGATTGACAGTGGGTACAAGCATTTGGTTCTTATGTCCACCATGTCTTCCTTCGCATTTACTCTATATGATGTCTTTGCATTGATTATTGTACCTTTGACTTCTAAATTTCTTGTTTTTACAACAACTAACAATACTTTGAAAGCCAAACTGAAGATTCGACATCATTTTTAATTCCTATAGAAGTGTCTTCAGTATTTCAGACTGCCTCTTTTGCAATTGATGGATGTAAATAGGAGACACATCTTCATTAAAGCTGCCTTGCGATTTACTGCCCCCTTAACTACTAGGTGTACTAGTTGTGCTTTCATCCATTCAAGGCGCCCATCAGCGTTATGCTTGATTGTAAATTTCCACCTACAACCATCCTGAAGGTAGTTTTGTGATGATCCATGTTCCATTATTTTCTAATGCTTGTATTTCTTCATTCACTGCATGCTTCCATCTACATTGTTTTGATGCCTCATTTATAGTGGTAGAAATCTAGACTTCGTCATGAGCATATATGAAGGCTTTGTTATGGTTGAGAGAGTCTTCCATAAGAAACGTGTTGCAAATTGGATGTTGTGTACAAGGCCTAATACATTTTCTCTTAGCAATCCGTTGGTTAGAGTCATCAATACTTGGTATAACTTTCTCAAAGATGAGATATCCTTCCCTGTGTTAGATTCTGGAACAGGATTCGGTTGGGTAGATTGGTTGGGTGCATGACTGCCTGATTCCCAGTTTCTCCTTGTATAGACATGAGGTGGACTAGTGACTAGTTGATATGAAGTGGACTAGTGACTAGTTGATGAGGCTGTTGTTGAGAATGATTTGTGTTGGTGTTAAAACTGGGTTGTGTTATGGGGCTGATGGAACTCGACATGTTCTGTTGATCGGGGATATGTATGGATACACTTGTTTAGTTTTTGTTGATAGGAGTATTGTCAAAACTGACAATTCATTTTCATTATCCCTCTGAATGTCAGGTTTGGGGTAATATGGTTGAGTTTCATAGAATATGACATATTGAATTATAAAGTCTTTTTGACGTGGAGAGTAACACTTATAACCTTTTTGATGGAAAAGAGTATCCCAAAAAAACAAATTTGAGAGCATTGGGATCTAATTCCCTCGAAATGGTTGATGGATGTGATGGAAAGTTGTACATCCAAATATCCTGAGGGAGATTACATGGTACAAATTGGTAATGGTGAAAATAGTGAAATAGGGTTTCATGAGGTGATTGAAACTTAAGAACACAAAATGGCATTTTGTCTATGAGGTAAGTTGCCGTGAGGACAGCTTCCCCCCAAAAGTGTTTAGAAACATGGTTAGAAAAGAGTAAGGATGTAGCTACCTCAAGCCGATGCCGGTTCTTTCATTTTGACGATCCGTTTTGCAAAGGAGTGTCAACACAAGAACTTATATGGATAATACCTTGACCAGAGAGAGAAGAGCCTAAATTAGACAAAGTTTATATGACCAAGATGATAGTGTCATTACATAACATCACCATCTTTATTCACACTAGATTTTAAATATTAATGACTAGAGACTGACCGAGAATGAGATGAATTTGAGTTGGTTCTTTGTGAATGGGGGTGGAGGATATAGAGTCACGAGCATAGTGCAGCACTGCCAATCGTCCGCCTTGAACTCGTTTCCAGAAATTCATGCAGTTTTAGAGAGAATAGAATTATACAATTTAAGACATGATTTAATTTGTTATCAGAGAGCATATTACAAGTGAGAGAAGGCACATTTAAGACATAGTGAAGTGTAATGTTCTTTGTTAAAATTATCGAACTTGTTCCCATGACTTTGGATAGAGAACCATGAGTTGCTATCAGGACTGTTGATGCTCTGTTATTTGGTTTGTAAGAGCTAATACATCCAGTCTTGTGGTCGGAGGCTTCCAAATCAACAATTCATGGTCTTGAGGGTGTGCCAGTAGTAAGAGCTGAAGAGGTGTTTTTTCTGTGGATTAGCTTGCTGATCAAACAATTTCTGCAACACATCTAGTTGTTTGTTGGAGGACCGAGAGGAAACGTGCAACAATGTTCCCTCGGCTGTTTCTATCAAAATGAGGGTCTTGAAGGATTCCGGTCAGTAGGCGTGTTAAGAAACAGCAACAGCAGCAATGCTAATCTACAGCAGAAGCACTGATAACAATGAGTAGTAGCAGTGGCAACGATGGCGGAAAACCGCTGCTGATCCCGTTCGTTATTAAGCAACAAGGATTCGGAGGAGATGAAGGCTAATCAGATGATATTCTGTTTTTGCGTTGCTTTTCTTTTCTTTATATATCTGTTCCCTGGATATCTAATTCTGAATTATTTTTCAATAATAATAAAACCAACCATGCTTCATTTCGTCCAAATATGTTCATCTTGTAATATTAACATTTAACAAGGTTAGTCAAATAGTCAAAATCAGAACTAAATGCAAGTTTTTGAAACCAAGAACTAAGATAACCTTCAAACAATTCATTGCAACCTCTCCATCACTTTGTCATACTTCTATCGGCATCTCTTGTAGAGCCACATCTCAAGTAAAAAATCAATTTCCACAAAACTAGCTCAGACGCAAGTTGCAGGGCAGGCACACTTTCTTGTGGTGCTCAAATTTAGTTATACCATTACTTGTGTCGTAGCTGTTTACTTGTTCTATTGTACTTCTCACATCTCAGTATTTGTTTAAACAGTCATCTATGCTGACAAGTTTAACTCTTTTGTCACTGCTGCCATCTGTTAAATAACAGATGATCTGCCTTGTACAAAATAATGGCAAATGCAGAACCTTTTACCAAATCTGCTGCCACCAAGATGTGAGCAGTTGTTGCATTCTCCTATTTTCTGGATTAAGTGGCCAGTTGATAATGCCATTAACTTCTGGCAAGGTCTTTGTTTTGTTCAAAGATCTGGAAGTAGGTCACAGGCGGCCTTTGTTTTCACATAAATATAGCCTGATGATTTTTTGTTTAGATTCTTACTAAAACATAGAAGACTGCATTTTAATATATTTTTTCTAATTGATGTCAATAAATTTTTCTACCAGTGCATCATGTAATTATCCATCACTTATTTTCTCGATTAACAGGTCCTATATTCTGATCCAGATCTTGGTGTATCACCAGTGAATTTCCGTGATGTTTTTCTTCATAGTCTGGCTCTTGAAGGCATGACAATGTCTATGGTAAGTATACCTAAATAAGGCTTATTTAGAATCAGTACTTAATATTTGTTTATAAATTACATGATTATGGGTTTGTCCTCTAGAACTAACTGATAAAAAGAATAGCTGGTTGTGATGATGTTCATTCAAACTTAATGATGGTATTGAAGAGGAGGAATCTTTACAAGCGATAGATAATGTCGTTTTGTCTTCAACGTCATCTGCTGTTGTTTGCATGCATTTCAGATATTTAGTATTTCATGCTTAATGTCCGCATTTTCCAAGTCAAATCTGCACACAGTAAAAACAAAGAAGGGCCTGTAAGTCACCTAATTTCAATAGTAGAAGCTTAAAAACACCAGACATTTTTTTTCTGCCTCATCTAACTCATAAGTTGCTTCATTTCAATGGCAAAAACCAACCCTCCCCTTTTACAATATAAATGGGGTAACTCCTATCTTCCATGTTAGATCAGCAGTCCAGCACATATAATTCTAATTAAAATGAAGAAACCTTTGTATCTAAAAATGTGGAGCCTTTGATTTATAACTTGATCTTGTGTTTGAAAACAAAGAAAACCTTGTAAGTCACCTAACTCCAATAGTTAAAGCTCATGGGAAGACTTGTTCTATTTTTTTTAATTGTAATGGTATTCTCTCTCCCCCCCTCTCTATATATATACATATAGAACTTTGCCACAGAAATTAAATTATTCATTTTTGATATAATAAATTAGTGCTAATGAAAAAGATTGCAATATTAAATTATTAATGTGCTTCTCTAAAATGTATGTATATGATACCACCTGCTAAGGGTACTTTGGATTATCATTAATCAGTAGAAATGACAGTATACTATCATAGAACAACATAAAGAGGAAAGAATGTATTGTATATTCATATGCTATTCTGAATTACAGTTCTTCTATTTATTCACCATCTTAATAAACTTTGGCCGTTTCCCACCAACTTCTACCTCCAGACCACTAACTTCCCACTAACTTCTACCTCCAGACAACTAACTTCTTTCAACTGTCTCCCACTATTTCAGTTATTAATCTTAATTCCCGTAATAAAAAACTGGTCCTCAAGTCTATGCCAAAATCTGGAAATTGCGCCACATAGTCAGTAGCTACATCTCAAAAAGCTTCACGAGGAGATTTTCTCACTGGACCAGATATTGCACTTATAGTACATTTTGAAATTTGACTACTCTTCTGTCCAGTATAGCTGCTGGTTGTTCTTCATATGTTTCCAAATGATTTTGAAACCATGAGAGCATGTGAGTTACTACATCTAACGTTCCCTGGAAAAGCCTCAACTGGGAAACATGAAAGACATCATGAATCTTAGTTTCCAAAGGTACTTTGAGCTTGTAGGCTACCTTCCCAATAATGGCTGCTACCTGAAAAGGTCCATAAAACCATGGTGACAGCTTGCCATTTGCTCGAGACTGAATTGTTTGCTGTCTATACAGCTGTAGTTTAAGCAGTACCAATCTCCTTGCATCCGAACTTCTTGGCTAGTGAAAAATCCAATAAGTTATGAGTACTTCCTGAATCTATCAAATTGTGCAAAGGCTTCCTATTCACCAGTCCTTTAATTTCTCATGGTGTGGATATTATATTTTCCTGAGAAAGCATTTACCGAAATACAAGGCTCGTTGATCATCTCCTCTTGCTCCCTTTCAACTCTGTATCACTGTCCTCATCTTCATTTCCTGGAATTTCCACCGTGAACCGCTGAGACTCTTAAAATTGACAGCTATGTTTGCTTATCATGAGGCTGATCTCGATAGTAGCACAATGTAAATTTTTCTACCCTCACATCCGTCGGAATGTATCTAATTTTTTTGACAGGTTTGGCACAGGGTTTTGTTAAAGCAAGTGGAAGTGCTTTATTTAGGGTTGTTGCTAGCAGCGGTGATTTACTATTAGACAACATAGGTAGCGATTGCAATGGTTTAGGTGGAAGAAAAATTGACTTGGTACTTGTTTTTGAATGTGAGCTGATAGAACACAGAGACTGCTCCTGTAATCTGGCAAACTCCCTGCCAACGAAGTAGGCTCAAGTACAGTGTGATCAAACTGTTTATGCCATTGCTGGTACTTGTTTAAAGTTTTGGAAAACCATGCCCTTACTTCTCGTATCAATAAGCACTCAAAATTGGTATAATCATATGTTTTTGTAGAATCACTTCCAACTGAAACAAATACAATGTTGAAGTCATTGTTTGACAGCGTAACATATTCTATAATGATGAAGGATGATGGTTGCAAGATCGCTAGTGCATTTCTGCATTGAATACCTACCTTCATGTATATACACTGTGCTTAATTGAGTGATGATTTGCTTTAAATCATTGTGTTATATTAGACATCAACAAAAGGTTGGAGGTCATAATATATTACTGCATTTTCATATTAAGTTTCTATCATTTTGTATGAAGCCATCTGATGTCTATTATAATGAATGCGTAGACAAGTTCTTTTCAAGACTTGTTATGTTATGTAACAAATCAGGAAATATCTTGGTGATTCATGTTGTATTACTGTTTGCTAATAAAATCTTATTGTTTTGTGTGAAGTTCATCTTTATGTTTGGCTCAAGTTTATGATGCTTTCTTTGAGTACCATATCAGTCGATTTTTCTTTGCTGATTCATGGAGTTTAACCGCAGGTTCACTCTTTTGTCTGACTCAGATTCTTGGAGCACCAAATGAGGAAGAAATATCGCTACTACACGAGCTATTTAGGTGATATTTCATATTTCCCTGATTCATTTGATTTAACCCCCCTCCCTAAACCCCCTTTTATGCATGCATGATTGTTCATTAAATGCATATTGAGAAAAAAATTATAGTATGGAAGTTCTTAAACATACATAGTGTGGAGTGAATCTCAATCAAATATATCTGTTTTTGTTGCCCATTAACCTGGATGTAGGCTGTGTCTCACAAGAGGGGAGGAAGTCCATGATGTAACTGTAAAAAGGATCCTAGATTTGTCAAAAGCTTTCTCAGTTTATGATGACGAAGTGCTGGTAAGGTTGTTAATAGTCACTTCAAATTTTGAGATCTACAGTATATGGCCAAAAATGTTTATGCCCCAAAACTTTATTATATCAGGCAAAGAGGAGAGAATTGCTTCAATTTGCTCAAGATGCAATTGCTGGGCTGAAAGTAAATGCTGATATATTGAGGTTGGTAAGGCATGAGTTTCCTGAAAGTCTATAAATTTGAATTCTTAGCTTGTATGTTCTAGAAATCATAGTGAACTTTGATATTGGATTAGAAGAAATATGCTCGAATACAGTGATTGGACCTACCTAAGGAAGGGAACTAGCAGTAGAGGGCAGGGGTAGAATTAGTGAGCCAGCAGTCCGCAGTAGGTTGCTGAAGCCGGAAGTTAGGCCAGGGGTGTGTAGTTTCCTTACCTTGTCTAAGTTTTCTTGTACTAGTTTATGTTTGTATGTTGTTGCTTACTCATAATTAGCTTTCCAAAAGTTATCTTATCTGCCTTTCCTGGCTTAAGTAATTCTTTTTTGTAGTCTTCCTCTTTTGTGTATATTTCCTCAAACTTTATTTTGCTAGTTTTCTCTCTTTTACTCACTTTTGACATGCCCTGGGTCTTCACTCTTCACGGAAACAACCACTCTACTCTTTGGGGTAGATATCAGGTCTACATACATCTTACCTCCCAGACCCATCTCAAGTGGGATATACTGTGTTCGATTGTTTTGGTTACTGGTGGCCAAGTGGAAATTAAAAACAGTTGATCATTTGTTAGAATTTGTGGGAGATGATGTTCGGGGATGTATATTGCTAGGCCATAAGTAGATGATAGGTTAATGCTATCTATGGCTTTTGATTTACTCTAACTCTTTGCATTTCAAAATCAGGGAGACATTTTGTTCTCGTTTTCCAACAATTTGAGAGTGTACATACATACATGCATTTTATATATGCAATCTGAGGAAAACATGACTACCATGTTAAACTATGTAAACGTACCATCATCATTAAAGTATGTGTGGCCTGTTGGTTTTGGCTTTGCAAAATTACACATTTGCAACCGAAGTCAAACTGTATCTCCAGTTGTGAACTGAGGTAGCATCTTTAGTCTTCTCAGTAAATTTATGTATTTTGAATGAAGTGCTGATCTTTAACTTCCCAAGCTTTTGTTATAACTGCATATTTCCATTTTCCTGTTTCATGATCTGCCCTCAGAATAGATTCTGAAGTCTCAGAAATACATCAAAAATTGAAAAGAATAGAACGTCAAGAATTTTCAATTGAGAGTGATGGAAGTTCTTTGGATGCAACAAGCGATAGAACATTGGAGGTATGGCTTTTTGGAAGCTATGCAGTATGGTGCGACAGTATTGTTTGACATATCTATTATAGTAAAGAAGATCTATTTAAGTTAACCTTTGAGTAAATATAGCATTGGCACCAACATCAGAACCGGACATGGCAACTTGATAAACATTCCTAAGACATTAAGAACCACAACATGGAAGCACCTTAAAAGTATATATGAATATATCTTATGGATTGAGACCTGATGCATGCAAGAGTATGTCCAAAATCCTAAGATTTTTAACAATTAGAACTTCCATGCAGTTCCTTTTCATCCAAGAGGATTTCTAGTTTCTGATTCATCCACTGCTTAAAAGGAGGCATGAGCATTAACCTACCATTGAACTAGCAAGTTAGACAACCAAGCATGAAGATATATTAGCGATCTTGTGTTCTGATTGTCCATTGTTGTAGACATTAGACTTCTGTTGGGGGCTAACTTTTTACAGAAACTTAAAACTGACATTGCAATATTGGTGAAAATTAAAGATAATATCAAAGTGCTATTACATGGTAGATAGTGATTGAACTTTTTTGAAGCCAAATTGATATTTGTTGCTGCAGGTTATAAAAGAATCTGTTTCCCCCATTCGACTTTGCTGCAGGCTGGAGTCACTTTTACTAAAAAAGAGATTGTTGAACAACGGGGATACACCAGAGGCTCATGCTCGCAAAGTACGCTTCACCTTAGTACTTATCTCTAATTTCCATGCCACATGCTATAATCAATCAGGAACAACAGCAATGGATGCATGACGATTTTAGAAAACTAAAAATTTGAGTGTGGCTCACTCACACACACACACATATACAAGGTGTTCACAACATGTATCACAATGGTAATGTTCATCTGTGTTTGCAACGTGAACGTGTTCATAGTGGTATTCCATTGTAAATAAAGGAATTAAGGAGAGGGGGCTATTTCATTAATTCCTTTATTTACAATGCCGGAGGAGAAAGGAGAGAGAAGAGAGCAGAGATAAGATTTACAAAATATCTAGAATGCACTTTATTTAAAAGTTTTAGTCAAAATTACCAAAATTATTAATTTCTTAATTTAACCTTTGATTTAAGATGATTTTTGGTTGAGATTGGACCTATCTCACAAAATATCTGGTTCTCCCATGAATGACCCCCAATATATATATATATATATATATATATATATGCATGAGGGTTTTAGCCAACTCAATTACAGAATAACAGAATATTGAAGGGGTATACATTTTAAAAAGCTAGCAATCTGTTGAAGGGGTATACAAGAGGATTTTAGCCAATTCAATTACAAAAGATTGAAGTTCCATCGCAAGTGGGTTTTCCATTTGATACGGGATCTCAACCAAAAAGATATATATTACTCTAAGTCCCAGTGTATGCATGTTGAATATCCATTTTTAGACACTCATGTATAAAATACCCAACCCTTTTTCTAACAGTAAGGTGACAGTCATATGATCAGTAGCCCCTGAGTCTATGACCCAAGAGCTTGATTTTTCTAGGGAGACACCAAGGACGGTAGGATGGATACTTGTTTGAGCCAAGGAGGAGGATGAGATTGTGTGTGATGGAGTTTTTATTATGATGAGAGTTCCACAATCGGTACAATCACTCTAAATTTTCTTTGTTGAAGAAAGACTTCTCAGTTGATGAGGTACCTATAGAATAGACTTATCTTCTGATGAGACGTGATAACCTCCCTTATTGTCATGGAAAGGTTAGAAGACTGAAAGTCTGCTTGTTTTCTATGAAGTTTCCAGCATTTACCCGTGATATGTCAAAGTCCAATGTTTATTTATGACACTTTAAGTTGAGGAGGAAAGATGTCAATCATGCATATAAATACGATCTTTTTGTGTGCCAAATGTGTACAGAAAAGTGTCCAGAAAAACATGTCCTGCTGACCTTCCTGCTTCAAGGAAGGCATTTAGTATAACCAAGATTTTATACTATATCCTAGTACATTAAGAAATCAAAGTTACAATATTTATTTAATTATTATGCAGGTTGATAAATTAAAAGTTTTATCAGAATCTCTTCTTAGCTCAGCATCTAAAACCGAAAAGCGGATATCAGATCATAGGTAATCGTTTCTATCTCTTTGTATTAATTTATTTGTGTATTCTTAGGGACAACTAGATATTTGGACCTTTCACCACATTCCTGCCTGAACTGGCTTTTATTAGCTGTTATGCTTCTTAATTTTGGATCTTGCGGCAAGAGGCTGAAATATGTAAGGTGGAATTTGTCTACAGTAAAAATATTTGGCCTATATGCTAGTGCATATGAGAAAATGGCATGAAGTTGGTTGAACAGTCTTTCATTGTCACTATATTTGGGATGGGGAGCATTTCACATGTCCCGTATTCCTCTTTACTCCTTTTAAATTTTGTTACAGATGTGTATTCAAATTCATTCAGCTTGATACTGGCCAATAGCAAGTGGACCACTGCTATTAAGCCTATGAGAGCTTGTGTTAAGAGACAATTGCTATTGAGATAGATCCTGGAACAAAAAATGAGCTCTTTGCTTAAGTTCATGTGGTCATGTCTTCGTATATATGTTGCAAATTTGACACTATATTGTTCATGAGTGATGACCCCTTAGGGGGGAGGGATGTTAAAAAACACTGATGTTAATGTTGGCTTCTTTATCGACCAACTTATGCTAGCATATGACTTGGTAAAGTATAATAGTCCAGACCAGTTGTGTGCCCATAAAGAAGGGAGCAGTTATGGCATATGTTGGAAACTGAACTACCCTAGATACATGGGTCCCCGTCAATGGATTGGCAAACAACAATTTTCCATGTAAATATTGTGTGCGTCAACTCATTGCCAATTGGCTTTTGTGTTAGATGCCTTGACAGCAGTATGGTGGTCAACCTTCATTATGCTGGGAGCAAAGACTACAATGGTGGAACTTAATTATTATTTAAAATGGTAAGATGCTTATGGCACTTGCTTAATGGCAGTAAGAATGATTTCATCTGTTACCGCTCTATGACAATTGTGTAGCGCATTTAATGTGTGAGAGAAGTCTTCAGCTTTTAAGGCAGGAGCCTTTTACTAGTTTGTGACCTTGGCCTCATAATTATATCTTCCAACTTCTTAAAAAGGCTTATTCCATATGGTTTCAGAGGGTCTAACCTGGATGGAGAATATGCTCAAGGTCAAAGATCTGCATTGGTTTGCTTTAGTTGCCTTTTTTCTTTGAGCTAGATGGGATGAGTTCTATTTAACTTGTTAAATGTTCACTAATCATCAAGCTTTTTCTTAAACCATATACAGTTATTTGAATCGCCCATACACTACTGATGTTAATTGTAAATTTCTTCTACACTAAACCAACAAAGTATTTTTCTTACAGATTCTTTTTTGTTTACATGTTTTTCTCATCTATAAAGTTTCTATGGATTTGGTTGCATTGTGCAGCTAACTCAAGTGATTTACTGTAGTTCTTTTATCTCTCTTGTCTGAATGTGATATTGAATTTTGTTTATTTGTTTCTAATAAGTATAACTTTCTTTAAACCATGAAATACATCTACCACGATTGTGTTATCAGGCAACAGAAAGAAGAGGCCCTTCATTTTCGTGTAGCCAAAACTAGTGAAATCAGCCAAATCGAGAAGGTACGTTGGTACGGATGACCATTGGCATGGTGATTCTTGCTTTTGGAAGTTCTTTTGGCATTTGTGTCTCTATATGACCTTGGCATGACATTGGCACCTCTACTAGTCTGCTGCATCAAGTGTTTTGCATGGATACATCATGAGAGTGCTTTTTCGGTTTTTTGATTAAAATCCTATTTCACACGTCTGTAGTTCGACTGAGCTATATAAATATATTGTGATTTTCATTTCTAATAATAGACAAACCATTATCTTGAACTAATGTCCATCATCCAGGATGTGCCTATAGATTGTACAATGGCCCTTCAAAAAAAAAAATTCACTCAAGACATGAATTCATTAACACCTATCCTAACAATAACAATCGAAGCCTTTTGCATTAAGCTTATTCAATGACTGAAAGAAGACTGATGCTAACTAGTAGAAATCTAATTAATGCTTATTTCAACTTGAAGCACCAAACTCAGCATAATTCTTTATTATATGCCTTATTATATCTGAAGAAATGAGGAAAGAAAGAAACAAGGAAGATCAGAAAGGTTAAAAGGGGGAATTTGTGGTACTTATCAAGCCTGCTCCAATAAATTGCTTTTCTTATTATATCTGTACCCTAAATATGTGTTTGCTTCAGAAATCACAAGCATGTTTCCTTGCAAATTCTTCTATTATGAGGCACTTTAGAAGGCTGAAATGTCATGGCATTTCCAGGATTTGGAGGCTGAAATTAGTGTGCTCGAACAGGAGAGAGACAAACTTGAAGCTGAGTTGAAGAAGGTGCCTTCTCCCTTGCAATGATATTAGTCAAATTATGCTTAAAAGCGATACAGTGCTGATATGTGATTTATTATTGTTGTAAGTTAATCAACCCTTATGTTGCAACACTAGTCAATCTACAAGGACACATGCACTGTATTGAATAGGCAGAGAACTGAAGTATAATAGGATATCGGTACACTTCCATGTTTGACACAGGAATGCGTTTAATGCTTTATCATGTAGGCATGTGAAGGGCCCTATCTTTTAGCTCATCGCTTATGTGTGCTAACCTCTGTCTGATAGAATTCAAAAGTGCAATGTTTTTTTGGAAGAGTGTCTTAGGCTATGCCTGGACTAATTGCCGCAAATTGTGACTGCAAGAAATCGGCCCTAAAAAACTCAGTGGCAACAATTCTTGTGTATGCCTGGAATCAAAGCTTGGGTTGATGGGATATTCTACCACATCCTCCAGGATCCCAACCACTACGCCACAACCCTTGTGGTTAAGAACATAGAACCAAGATTCAGTTATTTGGTGACTTTGACTCCTATTCACATTCATTACTTTGACCTATTAGTGTTCATCCTTATCTTTATGGGTGTGTTTTCCATGGTTAAGAACATCATATAAGAAAGATGAGTTCTTAAAAATTTCTGAAAGAGCTCCTAATAAGAAACTAATCCAGCATTTGCCAATCTTTAATGTTCATAAAGCAAAGAAGGAATGAATTAGTTATTGTGAAACCCTATTCTTTATGTTAACAGTACTGGTGAATTTGCAGTATTTGGCATGATTTGGGTTTTTAATACTCTAGTCTTAAACGTTATTAGGATAAAAAGTCTTAAAGCCATTGGCTTTTTCCATAACTATCAATATCTACCAGTTAAGTCATTTGAGGTTTAAGTTTATCATTTTTTAGATCATTGAAAAAATCTGTATTGACGATTATTCAGTAACCTTGCTACTTTCAAGAAAGGGACATCATAAATGAAATGCAGCTAGGTCTAAATATTGTCATATTTTGGACTTCCCCTTTCCACCAGACTTGCAAGTATTAGCTTGAGGGAAGTTAAAAAGGTTTGTGTTGCCTGAGTAGGTATGCCCCTATAGCCCAGTTGTGTAGTTAGTCTTGTAAATTGAATTTCTATGATAAAATCATCCATGGAGCAGAGAAAATATTAACAGGCATCATATATCATGGTGTTTGTCTGATAGTACTGTCTGTTTAGGTTAAAAGCTCGTTGGCTGTTGCAACCATTCAACTTCAAAATGCCAGGGAAGAAAGGGAACAGTTTGATGATGCTAGTAATGAGCTTCTTGTACACTTCAAGGCAAAGGTTGGAATGTCTTGGACCCAATACAATTTAAGGTTTAACATACTAAGAAAGTTAGGATAATCTTGTGACATTTTATAGCTCTTTGTGATCTACCTTGGTTTGATGGTTTAGCACACAAGGTTAATCTTGTGCCTATTGCAGCTCTATGTTATGGACTCTAATCTGAATGCTATGACACAGGAGGATGAACTCACAAAAGCAATTGTGTCTTATAAAGCAGAAGCAGATACTTGCAGTGCATTTGTCAATTTCCTTGAAGCTACTTGGGCTTTCCAGTCCTCTTTTATGGAGCAAAAGGAGAAGGTGGTCAAGTATGTACTTTGTAATTGTACGGGTCTAGTTTGGAATTTTTTTTGCAAGTTTCTGATGATTTTCATCTTGAAGTGCTTGCATTCTCTTTCTGGAGAATCTCCTTCGCCTAGCATCTGATGAATGTGCATTTTTTTAATTTGACATACTCAAGTGATGAATTGGAGATTCATGAAGAATACTTTGTAAATACGGCTAGGAGTCTTTTATCTGCTTACAAGGTATGTTGCACTTCTGGCCATTGCGTATTAAAATTTTAGCTACCATGTAATTTATAATGCCGTTGCATCTTGCTGCTTTGTATATTTCGATCTTATTATAAGGATGCACTGGAACCTGCCATCACCAATTTGAAGAAACATATGAAGAACTTGCAAAGGTATATTGTGATTAGTTAATCAAATTCCCTCTGCCTATTAAAAAGGCTTCAGTTAACAGTACTAAACTTTTGGTATGTAGGCGCATATTTCCAAAACACTCGTACATGCAAGCATGTGCTTCTTTGTTATGTGGCCCTATTAAGAAATTTTTTGTTCAAAAAGTTAAATTCATTAATCAATGCAGATAGGAGAGTCTGTTCATCAAAAAGATTAAATTGTCCTTACAGTTTTGGCCTGTGGTAGGTATGAGAAATCAGTTGACCCAGATGATGAATTTTTGCAAGATATTGAGCTAAGAAAACGCCTTGAGCAGGCATATCTGGCGGCAGAAGACAAGGTATGTGTACAACATACACCTATATCTGAAGTCGCAATTCCAGTAACATCATATTCCCTGTACAAAAAAAGAGCTACACTTTGAATTCCAACTATTATTTTTCAAATGCAATTTTATAGACTGACATTTAGGACCAACTTTTCCATTTCTAGCTTTTATTGTAAAATTTAAACTTTAATGTGGTCATCACTTTCAGATTTAGAATCTATTGGATTTATAAACACATGTAACATTCAAAATTAAACTATCTTTTTTTCTTGGAATGTAGGGAGTATTACTTGGTCTCCATTCTCTTTTGATTGTTTACTGGTCTAAACAATTACAATTTTTGGTTGTATGCATTTTCCCTCACATAACCAGTTGAACTGTGCAGATTATTACAATCTTTGATGCAGTGGAGAGTGTTAGAGAGCAGTTTTACAGTGCAATTGATAATTATTCTAGGTAAGATGAATTTATTTAGGTTTTACTCCTTGCTTTCCAATAGTTTATTTCCAAAAAATTATTTGAAAAATAATTTTCCTTCCATGACTTCACTGCTGATGTCATGATAGTGCTAACAATGGTAGTGTAGCAAATGAAAATTGTGTAAGCCATGTTATTTATTAGCTTATTACGGATACAGAACTATGTTCATATCTAAAATGATTAGGGTGACACTCTTATACTGGAGCAATTTTACCAGTTTATATGTGGGACTGTTTCTCTTTTTGTCCTTTTGTTTTTGGGAGGGGAGGGGTGTTTGGGTTGGGATGGAGGAGAGTGTATAAGCTTTTGTGTTTCATTCACCTTTACACTTCTGAAAACTTCAATATTTACCATACACTTGCCCAAAGTTGAAAATTTATTCTGTGGCTTGCAGTATTGCCTGTTTATGATTAATTTAGTGCTCATGGAGCCCATGAATTTTTGGAATATGTATTTTAAGGTTAATTGCCATTTAAGACAGCATTATGGGTTATTTTTGGGAGTTTCATTTATGTATAAAACACTGAAGAGAATGTACCAACAAAGCTAGACGACACTTGGCCAAATCTGACCTAGCCAAAGCTTAACCACAGTCTTCTCAATACAACAGATAAACTAGGACCGTACAAATGCAGAAATACTTGGAATGCAATGATCTATTAACACTATGAACCAAATAGCAATAATAGAGATACATTTACGGGGAAACCCAAAAGTGGGAGAAACCACAGGCGGAAGAGACCGCCATGGAGTCCCCTGCGATCGATCTTGTACAAGATTTGAAGAAGAAATTGAGAGTTTAATCTTGTGTATGGAGTGATTGAAGAGAGCATGTATAAAATGTGGCTAACATGTTATTAAGATCCCTGTCACGAAAGGCGAGTTCGAAGTCGCTTATGATGTCACCTGGTATGTGATCTGAGCTGAACTCAACTCTGTAGACCACTTGTGCAAGTCGTGTAAGAAGTCACTTGCAATGTACCTGGAGTTGTTCCCTGTTCACACGACTTCCAAAAGCGATGAAGGAAGTTTCCTAAGACAGAAATGTGAATTTGAGTCGCATTTTACAGTCCAATGTCTGATATTTCTCTATCACAGCCTATCTGATTATCAATGTGTTCAATCTGTGACCAGGAAAGATGTTGAACCAGTTAATGAGTTATGTGATGCTATTGAAAATATCAAAAATGGCTTTCAATCCCTAGCAAGACCAACTTTGAGAAGCGATAAGCCAACCCAGGGAGAACAGGCGTCATCAAAGGAAAGCCCTCGTAAAGCTTCATCTCCCAAGCGTGCACTGGCAGTAGATTTAAAATCCATTTTTGGGCAGAAATTGGTAGCACGATCTCCAAAAAACAAACCATATATACCTTTAGGTGGCAGTTGCGAAAACTCTCCACATCTGAATGATGATACCAAGCCAGTAGAAAGAGAGCTAGAGAAGGAACAAGTAAGGGGGGATGAAAATTCATCGCACCCCAATAAAGAACCATCAACATTGGCCTCAGAAAGTGAGAGAGAAAATATAGAACACTCCACATTAGATGTTGGTGGGAACTGTGATAAAAACAAAACAGATGAGGGTAAATTGCTCCAGCCTTCTGCCAGTGTGAAAGAAAGGTCATTAGGCGTTGATAAAGCACTAGTGGACTTGAACAAAGATCTCGAGAAAGAAAGTAGGGAGCAGTTAGCCGTGGACAATGGCCGGAACATGGACATAACAGAAAGCCAAGAAAGCAATATGGGTCGAGTTTCTACGAGTGAGGACGAAAAGTTTCTAGAACCTACCCAAGATTTAGGAGAAAAAGAATCTGTAAACCCTGAGACAACAGAATCTGAACAAGGGAAGACGTCCCAGCTTTCTTCAAGTAATGGTGAAAGGTCATTAGACCCTGATAATGGGATGCCTATTTTGCCAAAAGAATCAACAGAAGTCAGTGGGAACACCAAAGAACAAGAAATATCCCAGAGTTCTTCCACAAGCGAGAGTGACAAGTTAACAGACTCTGATGACGAACCAGAAAAATCAGTTTAGGAGTTGAAAAAGATGAGCAACCAGATAAGTTAGTGGCTGGGAATTCGATGAACTTGAACAGCTTAATCAGCGATTTGCCCAAAAAGTAGGCCATAATAGCCCTGGTAAGTTGAAAATCTTCAATCTATGAGCATCCTTGTTAGTTGCCATTAATTTCTTATTTTATGTTTTTTAAAATATGAATTTTACACACAGGTAAGGGTGCTGATTTTGACACTAACAGAGAAAGGCAAAGCTTGTGAATCACATAGAGATGGTATATTTCATACATTCATAGAAGATTAGATTTAACATTTTTCAACTTTTTATTATAGTCAGGTCAGGCTTACAATTTTTCGTTGAATTTTGTTATAACCATGCATTGCTTTCTGAAACATAGGTAATCCAACCATTTTCATCATGTTATAGTGAATGAATAACTTAGCTTCAATGAATCTGAACTTGAGTACTACATCCATATCAAAATATAAAAACTAAAAGCAATTATATCCTTGAAGTGATAATCCATATTTGTATTAGTTGTGATGATGTTTAACTTTTTGTATTGAGATGAAATCAGAAAGAAAAGAAGGTTGGTTGCACTTAGATTTGGTAAATGGTTGGTTGAGTTAGTTGCTACTGTTTTTAACAAACTGTTCATCTTAGAATTAAATTGTTTGAAGTTTGTCAGATGAGTGGGCATGTGCTGTGGCTTAACAAAAGAGTCTGACCTTTCTGACAGTGAAACTGGGCAGTGGTTGCAGACTTGCAGCAGCAAAGGTTTCCACTTTGTGAACAACAGGGTATGGACTAAACATCAGACCCAATCCCCCTGTCAACTCTAACCATTGCTAATATTTCTCTATTCTGTATGTAACGAATAAATTTTTCGAGCTTAATGTTACCACCATGAATTTATTATGTCTTCTTGTTTCGAACAGATTGTATAACAGGTGGCATTAATGTTTTAGTCGAGGTGTGTGCAACCAAGTTGGGTTACATTACCAAAAGAACCTTTACTGTGTTGCTTCACCTTTGAAGTAAATGGTATATATATATTCTACTCCTTTCTGAACAAGAAAAAGAGGGAGAAAGATTAAATTAGACAGACATAGGAACAAAAAATGCAGAAATTATGCATACTTTTGGACTACTATTATTTTTTATAAAAGAAATAGGGTAGCTGGGATTTCTGTTTCATTTACTCTATTATTATTATTATTATTATTATTATTATTATTATTATTATTATTATTATTATTATATTATTATTATTTAAATTCAAATTCAAAATGTTCAGTGAGAAAGTGGGGACCAGAAAGTAATTGAAACCCTAGACTTGTAAAATTAATGCTCGAATTATGTAAGTGAAAGTATTTCTTCTATTAATCAAAGTTTTAAAAAACCATTTATTATTACTTTTTTTATTAACTTGGATATCTAACCTTCCATACGAGCTGATCAATCCTAGAACAATCACCCGCTTTACGTGTAGCCTGTGTTCACCGCATTTGAACCTCCATGGTCACAATGAGATTTTTATTCGGCTTTGAATTTGAACCTAGGACCTCTAGGCACTTTTGACCTTTAGAGCTTAAGCTTAAATAAATTGGACACCATTATTGTGGTTAAAACCATTTATTATTGATGTTGGCAACAAATGAGTAAGTATCTTCGACTTGAAATTTCGCTTAAATAATTTTTTTTTATTAACCTGGATATCTAACCCGCTATGTAAGTCGACTAATCCCATGATGACTACTTGCTTTGCAGATAGTCCGGAGTCACCTCATTTGAACCTCCGTGGTCACAAGGGGATTTTTATTCCTCCTTATATTTGAATCTGGGATCTCCTGGTATTTTTGACTTTTGGAGCCAAAGTTAAACCAATCAGGCACTATCCTTGTGGTTTTAAATATTGAATCATGGTTGTTAATGCATATAAATACGTGATGGATAAATCAATTATTTTAAAGTTTCAAAATAGAAACATTTTGCACATTTATTTTGCTAATTTTTTTAAATAAAAAAACTGCAATTATTTTAAAAATGTGAGCTAAAAAGGGGTATAATTTCGAATGTTGTGAAAATAGAAGGTAATAGACCCAAACGTTGACCAAGTCAATTTGTGGAGACCCATGAAGAGACCATGTCTATAGAAATATGAAAATGCTAAAAACCAAGATGTATGGGAAAATGAGCATTTCCCCTCAATTTTTAATATTTATTTATTATTATTACAAATTGATTCCCAATATCAACAGCTTTCACCATACCACATACTTTCTTTAACTCAATGTACAAATCTTAGATGCATAAAGTACAAGTCATGAGATACCATTTGTGTAATTATTCATATTGCTAAACACTTGATGGTTTGCATGTAGCCTTGTTCACCTACAAATAACCTTTCAAGATGAGGGTAGCAATGAAGTGTTGTACTTGTGCATTAGAAACTTGTACATTGCTCCAAACAACAAGAGATGTTATAATTTCAAGTCTTTACATGTGTCCCTCTTGTTTGTGAATAAATCATGTCTTTTCATTCTTGTTTCTGAAGGTAGGTAATGAATCATGATTCATAATAAATCATGTGTTTTCACATTCTTCTTTACATACTTGGTGTACAACAAGATTAGCACATGGTACAACCCTTTCCTTGCAATGGTCAATGTGGAATGAGGGGCCATTGTTGTCTTTTAACCACACTTTCTTGTTTGGGAGCATTCAAGAAAAGTTTACTTGAAAATAACAAGAAATCTGACATTTCTACATTTTATATCTCATACCTTTCTAACTTAGCACCTTCTCTTCTTTAAATGATGCTCTTCAGTCTTCTTGACACACCCTCATATTCACTCAAAAACACACACACAGATAAAATGGCTGCAAATCTGTTATCTTGCAATTATGAAGATGAAGAGTTCATAGATATGGAAGTAAGCTCATCATCACATTCATATTCAAATTCAAATTCAAATTCATCATCAAAAAGCAGAGAATTTGAGTTTCAAATGGTTTCTTCCATTGTTCAAGATGGAGGAGGATCAATGAGCAATGCCTCCCCTGCTGATGAGCTCTTTTATAAGGGAAAACTACTTCCTCTTCACCTTCCTCCTCGCGTACAAATGGTGAAATCGCTTCTGCTGAATGCCGCATTCAAAGAAGTAGAAGCAGAACAAGAAGAGTTTATTACCATCTCTACTCCGATGATTCAATCATGCAATATATCTCCTTCTGAATCTTGCAGGGTCAGTACTGAACTAAACCCAGATGAATATTTCTTTGAATGGTCTACAGAATTAACAGGATTCATCGGTGATCACCCAAAAAAGTACTACTGTCCATGGTCCAAGAAGCTCAGGCTAATCAAGCACTCATCAATAACTCAAAAGCTCAGAGCTTCAAGAGCTTATCTCAAATCTTTGTTTAATAAATCTGGTTGTGGTTCAGATGGGTCCTCCTGTGACAAACAAGCAGTAGTCGAACAAGATGGTGATAAGCATTTCTTGGGGAAGTACTTGAAAGTGACCAAGAAAAGTGGTTTTGGGCAAATTCAAACAGGAAAATACCCAACATTGGCAAATGTCTTAAAGGGTATTGATGAACAGGGGAATAATGAGGATGCTTTTGATAGTGGATGCAGCCACAGGAAGTCATTTTCAGGGGCAATTAAGAGAAAGTGTTCACCTTCTTCCACATCTTCATCTTCTTCCTCTGCTTCTGCTTCATCATCTTCATCGTCTTCTTTTAATTATTCTAATGGGGTTTATGAGGTGCAGTTGTTCAAGAGGAATAGCAGTGCTAATTCAGAGCTTGAAGGTTCAATTGAAGCAGCCATTGATCACTGTAAGAAATCCCAACAGGTTTTAAATTCAAGAAACCCATTGAATGAATCTGTGTTTTTTCCACATTCTGTTTCATAAAATGTACCTTGTAATAATCAATGTTCAAGAAGCTATTCTTTTGTTTGTTTTCTGAAGATATTATCATATGGTGTCCCAGATATTGCTTTATTTATTATATATATATATGGGGGTATATGTCTGTATGACATCAAATAAACCATTATTTGGTCAAATAGTAGTGATATATTACTTTCAAATCTTCAGTAACCACAATTTTGTATACATATCAAACAAATCATAAGTTTTTATTATTTCACATTTTTGTCCCCTTGAAATTTTGATGCCTGCTGATTGAAGCTTCTCTTAAAACCACTAGATCATCTTAAGAAAGTCCAACCATTTCAGTCAAATCATTTCACATTTTGTTATAAATGTTTGATAGGTTTTCAGCATTAAGTTGTACCATAATACAATGTACTTCTAGAATATTGCTTCAACCTAGAAAAGGCCATACTCGACTCAAATGCGTCAAAGGAGTACCTCCTTATCTGTCAAAATTGACCAGACTTGATTTTCGAATAGAAAGAACCGACGACTATAGACAACGACGTGTAAAAGTATTAACAACGGAAACCCGTCGAAAATCTAAAAGAAAAAACCCATAAATCTTGAGCCAAATTTGAATTTGAAAGGTACTTCCAACCCATGAAAACACAAATAAATTCATTTTAAAATGATCTCCACAAACTGCAACTTTCCCATTTTAGTAAGTTTTCAAGTCACCATTGCCCCTTTGTCATCATCAAATTCAAAATGGAAGACAATGGGTTGGGTTGATATTTGATAAGATTGTGTTTTATCTCTCGGTGTCAAAGAAACTTTTAAGTTATTTGACAAATAGTTAGGTTCGTCCCTAAAACCATGTGTCCAATCAAAACTGAAGGAGTACAAGGTTTGAATATCTAAATTCAAAAGTTTCAAAAAAAAAAAAAAAATCCTAAAACAAACTCAGCATCAAATTCCCATTATTAAAATTCTGCCCTTTTTCTGTATATGCAACTACAACTGCAAGAAAGTATAAAAAGGCATCTTTTATACAAAGCAGATAATGACTCCAATATAAGATCACATGTATGAAATTTAAATCTGTGCCATGCATTCAAAGGCATTTCTCATAGCTAGAAAAAGGGACCCACTAACACCTACAGTTTAAAGTTCTCAGCTTTTACCTTTATGTGTTAGCATTGCACCATTCCACCTCAAACTCTTGCTTTAGAAGTGGTATTAATCATCAAAAACTAGTTCCCTTCTTCACCATGAAAGCTTACTGACATCTTTACTTCAAGAAATCTTTTAAAGATTTGGGCACCTCGAGTATAACTTAACGGTCCTGCCAAAATAGAATAAACACAGTGCCAGAAAACTAGCTCCGTTAGTGCATCAAAACATGATTAATGTAATAAAGATAGAAACCTGCATTTGGGACGATCTGCGGTTGATCTTAGAGGGGTTCAGTTCCCACACTAACTTTTTTAGGCTTGGTATCATCAAAAAGAATTTGGGAACTAATCTTTTACTGTGATTTGTAAATTCTTCTAATTGACTGAGAAAAAGAAAAAAAGTAGAAGGAAAAGATGCTGTGAAAAGAAGAAAAAGAGGTCAGAAGAGTGATAAAGAAAAGTGGCTTTGGCATACTTCTAGTTCTAGGTTTCTGTCATGAATTAATTTTCACCTTGCTCTACATTTTATCTCATGACAATTACAATACATACACAAGATTCCTCTATTTTGTTGTTATCTATAACATTTGATTGGTTTTGGATAGAACTTGATAGTCATATGGGCACTGTTAAAACTAGGTCTCTTTTACCACCATGTACACTAGACCACAACCCAACTGATATCTTGTACGGTGCATAAAAGTGAGGAACCTGTAATAACTTTTCTCTTTTCTTTTACTTAAAAGAAGGTTAGCCTTTTCTTCAGGAGTCAAAATCTCTGATCTAGAACAATGTACAACTTTTATTACATGATATATAAGCAGCTATAGCATCATTGCTCTGGATCCAGGAATTCTGATTCTGGGAATCAGGATAGATTGTGGGTTCGATTCGTTTGGGTGCTATTACTTTCCCTTTTACGGGTCATGTGTGCCTTCGGAAGGGGGAGATTCACCTGGTTAAAGTGTGGATGTTAGACTCGGACCTTGTAAACTTAGTTAGTCAACAAGTTGTTACCATGATTATTAAAAAAAATGAGGAAAGATCTTCTGTAGCAAGTTAATCATTCAGGCCATTCGTCATCATTAAAAAGGTCAAAGTCATCTACTTGACAGATTTAAAAACAAATATTTATGCAGAGTCAACATCATTACATCAACTAACATTCTTTACTTATAAGTTAAAATTAAACTAAAGATTATGAGTGTAGATTTGAGCATAAAAGGACCCATGAATGTGATTTTGATCTTTAAAGTGGCTATCTTTGCTTTAAGCAATGACAGCTTTTGCCAAAGCAGCAACTGTTGCTTTAAGTACTTACATTTGCTTGCATTCACTTCTATGTAAACACACCATCCATTTGACAATCCAATTACGAATAAGAACCTATCATTCGCTATGCAGCCTATACGCACCCACCACTAGCTATGGATCCTTCCCCAGTAACCAAACCATGACGCAAACCCATGAACCATCTAGTCAGGTCTATGGTCCAGGCTCCAGGGTCTTCTTAGTTTCCTGCAATTGTTGGCCCAAACCCATATGAACGCATGTTTTCTGGATGTTAGGAAGCTAGAAGAAAGCAATTTGTGGTAGATAGGTACACAAGAATCAGTCCTTTTGGCTCATTAGCTATTTTGTCCTTTCAATCATCTCTCTTGGCAATTGTACTATTTGCATCAAAAGTCATACTAAAATACATATAAAAATGATGTATCTCTTGATGAAAAGTAGAGCTAGACAAAGGCAAGGTGCAAGCTATGAAGGGCCACTTTGAAAATAAGAAGAGAAAAAATTTGGACTTTAGACCACAAACACAAGGAAAATTGTTATTTATCTATTAGGTCAGTGAGGGCACCTGTATGTTTTCCTACCACTTGACCATTTGTTATTGAGATATTTACCAAATTTGTCCTTAACAATAAGTCCATCTAGAATTTGAGCAAAGACCACAAATTCACCCATCAACAATATACTGATATGTTTTAAATCTAACAGCAGTATTAGAGCAACCCCAAATTGGTCAAATAGGGATCTGGTGCAATTTTCTGCTACTTTATATAAATTCTTGGAGATATATACATATGAAGTGGTCACTAGCTCTTTTAAGAACCAAGATAAACAGAAAAAAAAAAAAAAAAGATGCCCTCAATTCGAAAAGATGTAAACATACAGCATTATTATGATCAGATAGCATAAAGTTTCTTGAACTCGTCATTTTCCGAATCTGAGTCTGCTGACACTGACCCCGAGAGCGACTTGCTACTCCTCTCTAGCCTCCGACTCCTTATGTTGCTGGCTTCAATTCTATGCATAATAACCCAATAACACATAGTTCCTAGTGTGGAGGCCAACGTCACTGACCCTATAACTGTAACCCCAACTGCCAACCATTTCTCGTTTCCCACAACGATAAAAGAAAGTGCAAGAAAGGCTACTGAAACAAACACACAGGCCAACCACATTAGCTTGTTAATCACTGCCATCACCTGCTTCTTTGCTCGCTTCTCCACCACCACAATCGATGTCTGAACAACCACAACCGCCAGTGATATGAAGAGGGCAAGAGCATCAAAGATCAAGAAAACAATGAACTCGGGTTTTGAAGCTATGTGTCCTTCTCCCAGAGAAAAGTGAGCTGGAATATGAGTTGAATCATCAACATATTGGCCAGGCAATTGAAAGATTGCAGCAAAAGTAACAGTGGCAATCAAAACAGCAACAACTGTGGTGGAATTGATTGCATTGTTGAGGCCTTCAAGATGCATCTTGTTGATACGTTTTCCGATTCCTTTTACTCTTTTCTGAGTTTTGAGTGCGTGCTCGAGCTGATCATGAACTCCGTGTTTGATATCACTTACTGTTTGTTTCAATTCGCGGGCAGTGGGTGTTAAAGGTGGAGGTGTGTGTTTCATGGATTTTGCCTTCGGGACTCCATGTTCTCGTAAGATGATCGCGATGTCTGGCTGCCCGAATTTCTCAGCTGTGTCAAGAGCTGTTTCCCCATATTTGTTAATGGCTTCTTTGTTGATTGTTCCCTTGTGACTTAGCAATGCCCAAACAATCTGCAAATTTAAGTACCATGGAAAACAAGATTACTCATTTGTTTCAGTAAGAAGTGTAGTACCCTTTTGACTTTTGAGGTCAAACCACTTCTTCTAACATCAAAGTTGATAACTTGATATGAATTCTTTTAGCTTCCCAAGAAATTAATCAAACCTACTTATAATAAGTTCTGAAAGTAGATGACTTTGGGTGTTCTATAATCTATCTGTAACAAAAATCGATATCAGTTTTGAATCTGAAAAGCTATCCTGTTGACCTTAAAGTCAACATATACCTCTATTCTTGAATAGATGTATGATATATAACCTTTAAATACCTGTGTGCGACCCTTTCTTGCAGTTATATGTAGAGCAGTGTTATCTTTTTTATCAACCATATTAACCAATCCACTATCCGCTTCGATAAGTGCTTTAACAACCTCCACGTTCTGTCCTTTAACCGCCATATGAAGAGCTGTTTGTCCCTTCTTATCAGCTCTACCAACAATTCCAGGGACTTTCTGTGAAAGTGCTTTTACAACCTCTAAATGACCCTTTCTTGCACAAGAATGTAAAGCAGTTTTAAGGTTGCTTCTGGCAATACTAGCCATGCCACTATTTTTCTCCAAGAGAAAATTCACCACCTCAATCTGGCCTTGTTCTGAAGCAGTGTGCAATGCTGTGGTGTTTGTTTGATCGAAAGTCATTGAAAGCTCGGAATGTGTTTCCATAAGAACCTTCAACACCTCTGAAATGAAATTTTGAATCAAATCTTGAGAACCATTTTATATATTGAAGAAAATCAGGACAATTTTCAGCTAATGATGCATAAAAACTGCCCCAAGAGTTCAGATGTTTGTACTTAAAAACAGAGTGCCACAGGACATAATAAATTGGATTCCGATAAGTTAACATTTTTATTTTATGGGTCCAGTTGATCTGATATGAGAAAAAACGAAAGGTGTGCTTTTATGTCTTCAACTTATTTGAGCCAAAACAGAAGATAAGACCCACATCATAAGGAACTGATAACCAAGAAAATGGTAAAAACAAGGTTGAAGAATTTTTATGCAAACAGATCCCAGTTTTTTATGACAAACTTGCACCAAAAAGAAAGGGTCTTGATCAAAATTGTTGAAAAAGTTTTGACCTTCAGATTAAGCATTAATGAAGAAATTTCATGCCAAATAAACAAATTGTTGCTGACACAAAAATTAGGCAATTCATCCGTCCTTTCCAAAAAGAGGGTTACACTTCAATTTTTCAATTCAGACATGTTACTTTCCATATTCAGAAGGTGGGTTTTGTTGCAATCAACCTCTTTCTATATACAAAATTAGCTAAAAAGTTCTATGCCATCAAATTATCTCCAAAGCCTTTTCATATCAATCATAAAGTTTAGCTTGGTCCATTCGACCTCAAAGATCAACTCGTGCCTCTTTTCCTTGAATTTCAATCGTATTTTTAGTACCATACATATTCCACCTATAAGAAAGCACCATTTTTCCCATGATCTGGGCAAACTTTAAGATATTTGGATGCATCTTTAAAGAAATTGACAACATTTGTTAGATTCATTCAAACTTGAGACCTACTGAAAGCAAGTCTCAAGCCTTATCTACTGCATCAACTCTTTGAGCTTATTTCATTAGTAAACCAAACCAAAACAAACTAGCCTAGTATGTCGCACACGGTATTTCATTAGTATCTAACAGATAGAAAATAAGAATGAAAGAAAAACGATAGTTTATGTTCATATTCTTACCAAGATTTCCTAGCCTTGCAGCTATATGGAAGGCATCAAGGCCATTCTTGGCCTTGATGCTTGCAGCCTCAGAGTCATAATACTTGATCATCTCTCTCACCAAATCCACACACCCATATTCAGCAGCAACATAAAGAGGGGTTTCTCCCGATTGATTCTTCTTCAACAGCAATTCTATCAACTTTTGTTCCACATAACTGCTTAGAATCTCAAAAGCTGCACCCATATCTCCTGTCCTAATAGCAATATGCAGAGATGTATCATCTTTTTTCTCCATAGTTCTGTTTCTGCTTAAGGTTTGATGCAATTTCCCTGCTGCTGCGGATGGAGAATTCATCGGATTAAACAAAACCCCCTCTTTTTCAGTGGCAGTTTTCTACAATAATGAAAAATATATTGTTCATTACAACTAAAATATCAAACCCTTCTTTCTTTCTAGAAGTTCAGAAAGAATACAAGATACAAGTTAGGTGGATATAGATACAGATATAAACACATGAGCAACACGCGAGTTTGTACAATTCCTTTCTGTATATAATTATGTTTCGTGACAAAATTCATTTGCTTTTCACACTATGACTTAAGGACTGGTATATGTGGGGGTCGGTTGGGGTAGGGTTGACCTATTTAGGTCAATGAACAGCTTCATTATGTGCTCCCTTTCCATTCTCATGAATAACTGGTTGCTAAATGGAACCCATATTCAACCAATACAGATAAAGAAAAAGCCAAAGTTGACAAATATCAAAGATCCTAAACATGATTACCTCATAAAAGAAGTGGAATCTTGGCTAACTTGATTGTATTTCAATACACACAGGCCATGAGAAATTGATTGATAAATAATCAAAAAAAACTTGATTTTTTTACCTGGGTTCTGGAGAATACAGAGATTCTTGATGTCTGATTCAATCCATTTTGGAAATTGCAAAGAAAATCTTAGGTTTTCAAGAACATTTGGGGAGATAATTTTGTTGACATTGATTAAAGAGTAAAAAACCAGAAGTGAAAGAATTAAGAGGGTGAGTGAAGATGGGTAGGGTCTGGTGATTTCAAGCAAAGGAAGAAAAAGTGGTCTGCTAAGAAAAAGGACATGAACCAAATCATATGCTTATTGAGTGTTGGAGCCATGTATATATTCTCTGTATGGTCAATCCTCCAATTATTTATTATTCATTTCATTTAATCAATTAATTAATTAATACCTTTACTCCATTAAATATTCATTTTAATTTACACAAAAAAAATTTCCCAAAATTTATCCAATCAACTTATCTGCACACATAATATTCAATTCTACACTGCCAATGTAAGAACCATCAAAAGTTATAAATAAAAACAAATTATAGCAACTTGGCAACATTAAAAACCAATTAAATATAAATAAATTAATGGAGTGGTGACTCACTTGTTGACCTCTATTTTGTTGAGGCCACTATAGGTTGGGCACAAAAATATATGTCTGATTGTCTTTCCTAAATAAATAATTAATTATAGCTTTATGGAGGATTTAAATAATAAATGGTTGTGTTTTCTTTAATTAAAAGGAAAAAAAATGATGCATCAAAGGAAAAATTACATTAAAATGAAATCAACTTTTATTTGATTCATATTTTAAGGAATCAATTTTTAAAATTGTCATTTAAGGGTCTCTATCAAACTTTTTGTTTATTTAAAAGTCTGATTGACCTATTAATGCTGACATCATCTAAATCTTTTGTCAACTAAGATATTCCACGTCATATTATTTTTTTATTTTAAAACTAATATTCCACGTCATATTTAAAATTGCAAAATAATTATAAAAAAAATAACTAAAATTCATTTTTTTTAAATTATTGTAATAAAATCTATTTTTCATTTCAAATCTCCTTTTTTTATAAAAAAAAATTTGATATGAAATTGAAGATTTTTTCAAAAATGGACTTCTTTACTCACAATTTGATATCTGGTTTTTTTATAAAAAAAACGAGATTTGGAATGAAAAATAGATTTTATTACAATAATTTTTGGAAAAAAAACAAATTTTAGTTATTTTTCTATAATTATTTTACAATTTTAAATATGACGTGGAATATTAGTTTTAAAATAAAAAATTAATATGATGTGCAATATTAGTTTTTAAAATGAAACATTAATGACGTGGAATATTAGTTTTTAAAAAAAATGACGTGGAATATTAGTTTTAAAATAAAAAATTAATATGACGTGAAATATCTTAATTGGCAAAAGATCTTAATGATGTCAGCATTAACAGGTCAACATGTCAACTAGACCCTTAAATAAACAAAAAGTTTGATAAATATCCCTAAATGACAATTTTGAAAGTTGGTTTCCCAAAATAAAAATCAGGTGAAAATTGGTTTCATTTTAATTTAATTTTTTCCGTGTGAAATATCTCAAAAAAAATTTAAAAACAAATATATATCCTCTTCAAAAAAATAACAATATATGTTATACGTAAATTCTTTGTTAATAAGATTGAATTTTAACCCAGTTAGACGCAACCATCATTTTGCATCTAAACATAAATAAAACATCTTGATAGTACAGTTAGATGAAATCAGTTAATGATGATTTAACAGATAAATTTACAGAACAAAAATAAATCATACACATGAATGATGACTACGAATGATATTACGATATTATGGTCATTTTATATCATTTTTTTAAACATGGTTTATAATAGATGTTTTAATTGAGCTCGTGTATGATGTCAATAAAATTCAAATGTCTATTTTTATAATAGAATATTTCATTTCAAATTATATATATAATATATAGGAGCTTTGGTGGGGTTAAATTACATTTTAAAGTAGTGTATTTTACATTTTAGTATTTTTAGACATGGTACTTGCCATAAATAAATTAAATAAATGTATTTTAGTGTTGTTAGACATGATATTTGCCACAAATAAATTATATATATCTATATTATATTATAAAATATTTGATAAAAAAAATTAAAAATATTTTTATACATGAACTACTGTTTATTGATACATATTACTTAAAATTTAATATTGTGCGTAAGTACAACTTAATAAAGTTTATTTTTTTAATTCGTGTAACTAATTGCAGATAAATATAGTAAAAAAACAAGATAAACATTTCATTTTAAATATAAAAAATCTAAAATATGATTAGGATAATTATTGAGTTTTAATAGAATACTTAATTATCATCCTTATAAAAGATTATATTATTAAAGACAAATAAACTATTTTGTTATTAAATTATGATAAGAAAATTGAATTAACGAAACTACACAGAAAATGAGAGCTTTTAAGTAGTTAATTTAATACTAATATCAATACATTTTTTTCAAATTATATTTAATTTAAAAATAAAAATATTATCGTTTTCTAAAACGACACAAACCAAGTAGAGCAACCACAATATGTATCGTTCTATTTAGCTAAATTTCAAGTGTGAGTGAGTACCCTCATGTTCCATATACTAAATAAGTGTAACTTTTTTGGTGTCTCAAATACTACTGGCATCTGAGTACGTACCCCTCACAAATTTGTGTAACATTCAATCTAACACCATTAAACATGATAAAAAAATTCTAACACTGATTCATGCATTGTCTTTAAGAATATTAATCCACTAATCATATCAAGAACAAAAAAACTTCATTTTTGTTCAATTCTTGCTTTCTAACCACTAATTTCAAGCAAAATTTTGAAATAATCGTTTTCATACATAGTAGAAATTCATGCATCGAAACGAAGTTTTAGTATGAATTCGCTAATCCTTGCCTTTGAACTTCACTACACTGTATACGTTACAGTTGAGAAAAATTATTATTAAAAAAATATGATTGTGATTTGAAAGAGTAAGATGTGTTCAATAGATAGAAGTAACTCGAAAGAGACGTAAGTGGACTTCAATAAAAATCAAACTCTTTTAAATTCTTCCCTTTTTGCCCTCTCTAACTTGGTGGGTATGCTTATTGGGTATTGGATATGGTCCATTATCAGCGGAATCTGTCGTTATACCTTCCTTTGATTTTATTTAATAGGTAGGTATTACTTGCACGAAAAACGCAAAACGAAATCTTCAAAACGGAAAGGAAGTAAAGAGCCCCGACGTACTGTGGTCATCAAACAAATGATGTCAATATCTCTCTTCACGAAAATCTCCTCCCTTTCTGCCCTCTCTAGCTTGGTGGGTATTATTATTGGTTATAGCCGATCGTCATCGAGATTCGTCGGTATACTTTCATTTGATCTTATTGAGATTACAAATATTATTTTTGATATATTGTAAGTTATGATACTATCTTATTACAAAATATCGATTATAAAAAATAATTCTGAAAATTGTGCATACAAATTGAAAACGAGTAGTTTTACAAAGTTTAGAAGGAAAATGTATTTAATAATGAATAAATTAATGAAATGATGAGTAACGTTTTGACCTTTGTTTTGTTAGTTTGACTTTTGTTGCATGTGATATTGATCGGTTGGTGTAAGAGAAACTTTAATGAAATGTTTTCCTATTGCATTCACGTATTTCAATAGTCGTGACACCATTTTGATTGGTCAAAATGGTGCGGATACCCTTCTAGTTCGCCATAACTAGCGTTAAATTGTCTAACTATTTAGCTGAGTCCATTACCCCAATAGCCTCTTGATATTTAATACGTATTGGACCCAACTAGATAGTTAGACAATTTAACACTAGTTATAACCTTAGTAATGTAAGACACTTGAAAATTTGAGATTTGGTCTATGTGGGACAAACCAAATGCCCAACATAGATAGGCTCCATTAAACATACTTTGTATTTAGGAATAAGAGTGTCTTAAAGATGCTGTAAAAGTGAAACATATTTTACAGATAAAGATAATATTATGTATACTTGATCTATTTGGACGAACATTAAACATAGAATTCTAAAGAAAATTGTTATTTTTGTAGCCTAAAAAAATACAATTTTTTATAAAGATAATAATTAAATGTGTTGTTAGTTTTTTATAATTTACTTTAAGTTTAATAACAAAGTAATTTATTTTTTATTTAATAATATAACTTTTTATAAAGATAATAATTAAATGTGCTGTTAGAAATCAATGATTATCTTAATTTTTTATATTTAAAATAAAATATTTATCATGTATTTTGTTATGTTTATTTGCAGTTAGTTACATCAATTCAAACATAAAACTTTAATAAATTGAACTTACGCATAATTTACTTGTAATCTTAAATTTTAAGTAATCAACATCAATAAACAATACTTTGTGCATAAAAAATTGTTTTAAGAGTTTTGTCAAATGCTTTAAAATATAATTAGAAGAGTACTCGTACAATGTAGCGAATACATCTCGATTTTAATGTTTCGTTTTTTTTTGTCCCAGTCGATGTTATAATACAGTTTTATGCAGTTTTCAGGAAAAAATAATGTTTTTATTTTTGAATAAAATATAAATATGAAGATATCATAAAAAATTAAAAAAAAATATTTATATTAGTATCAAACTAACTATTTAAAATTCTATTTTGTTTGTGTATTTCTTTAATTCATTTTGTTATTTTTGGTTTAATAATATATTTTTTATAACAATAATAATCAAGTATTTTGTTAGAAGTCAATGATTATCTTAATTATATTTTAGATTTTTTAGATTTAAAATAAGATATTTATCATCTATTCAATTATAATTATCTGCAGTTAGTTACACGAATTCAAAAATAAAGATTTAATAAGTTATTTTTACGCACAATTTACTAATAATCTTGAATTTTAAGTA